TAGCTTTGGAGATTCCCTGAAGAAAGATAGCAGTTACTACCAAAGAAGAATATGTGACATCTTTTTCTGTTAATTTCTTTTTTTAAAGGCATCCCAGGTCATCAGAATTTACTATGTGTGCGTCTGTGTGTACATATATATATATAGAGGGAGTGAGAGTAACTAGCCTAAATATAGGTTTTGATTGTCAACTTTTGACTATAGAGGTCTTAAGAAAATCCCTCAAACCTCTTATTACTAGAATTTAGTGGGGACAAAGAGCTGATATTTTAAATCACACTACTGTCAAAACAGAAAGGACTTGTTCCCTGGCCAGGAATTGAACCTAGGCCACCACAGTGAAGGGGCAGAAACTTAACTCCTGGACACAGCATGGAGTGGCCTCCATTGTTCTTCCCAGAAGGAATGTAAAGCAGGCAGTTCTGAACTTACACAGGATTTTAACTTTGTTTTAGGTTAGACCTGCTCAGAATTCTCAAGGCTAGCTATGACATTACTTTATGTTCATTTAATTTAATGTTTCCAACAATTGTTTAGAATAAAAGATCTCTCAAATCTTTTTTCTGTTTTCAATGATGTACCTATCCCCAATGGTGGCTCAACCCAAAAGTCCTTTTATGTAAAGCCCAGGTGTTAATTTTCTAGGCTTTTACCATATTGGCAAGAGGTATTCCTGAAGAGGGTATAGAAGAGGCAATTCCCATAATCCCTACAAATTTATCTAAGAAATAGACAAGATAGCAAAAGACAAAAGCCCAGTCTGAAAGGGATATTTTAATACAGAACGCCCCTAAGAGCTTGACACTTTTGGAATGAAGAGTCTGCTGTTTAAAATATTACATGTCTCAGACACCTCATCCTTTCAGACAGCCACCTGAGGTGAACCTGAAAATTTATACTCTCTGGATGGCGGAGACTGAGAGTTCCCCACTTAGTCACAAAGCCAGGCTCTCAAGGACATAGGCAAGAGGGAAAGCTCATCTGGTTTTTATTTCAAGGACCCCAGTAAAGTTTGTCTTAACAGACCCTGGTCGACTCACCCATTAAACTCACTAGTCTGTAGCTCAAACAGCAGGTGTATAGGGGTCCTAGGCCCAAGTTCTACGCTATAATACCCTTTTTTATAACAGAATCAAACAGATAAAAACAAAGAAAAACAACAACAACAAGAAGGCTATTTCTGAGAGCAAAGGGATCAAACAGTATGAATATTCATAACACAGAGTACCAAAAGTAAACCAGATCACTAAAGCTCAAGACTTGTCAAACAAATCCTTTTTTCCCATTAATCAGTCTTGCAGAGGAAACAAATGAGATTTTTACTGTCTACTCACCAGAGTGCTCAGAGAGAGAAAGGCCGGGAGCTTTCTCTTTCCGGGTGGGGGGGGAAGGGGTGTGGGGGCGGATGGGGGAGGGGTAGGGGACGGGGCGGGGCGGGGTCTGCGGGTAAGAAATTCTTACCCCTTTGCCCATAAAGCAGGTTCCTGGATTCGTTTCACTGTAGCTTCCGGGAGAGAAAAGCAGCATTGAGATTCTGCTCACAGGTGGAAGAGACTTGCCTTGTCTCAGATGAGACTTTATACTTGGACTTGGGACTTTTGACTTAATCCTGGATGAGTTAAGACTTTGAGGGACCATTGGGGAGGCATAACTGTAGTTTGCAATTTGAAAAGGACCTGAGATTGGGGTTGGTAGGGGCAGGGGCAGAATTGTTACTGGTGGAAGAACTTCGAGTTACCAGCGGCGTATCCATGCGGACTTGCAGCAACCACAGTCCTTGCCTCCTCAGAAGAAATAATTCGACTGAGGGGCATAAAATAGAAAAAGAGACCGAGGCAAGTTCCAGGGCAGGAGTGGCAGTTTGTTAAAAAGACTTTAGAACAGGTGGAAAAAAAAAACAACCCTTGGAAGATATGCAAATGAGCAAGTGAAGGTCAAAGAGAGGAAAAAAACAGGGTGTTTAACCTTGATTCTAGGACGTTATAGGCTGGCCTCTTTCCTGAGAGTCTTCCCTTAGGGTAGCGTTTCTGCACATGCAGTGCCTTTCCTACCCTTAAGAACTGAGCATGTGCAGTGCATTTTGGAAGCTGTACACATGCCTGTCTGAGGCTTTCTTCTTTTTCTGGTGGAGTGTACCCAGAAGGTTCTATTTACTTGACCATTCTGTCCTTAGTGTGCATGCCCAGACAGTTTTTTCTTTTTTCTTCTGGCATCTGCATTCAATCAAGGCTTAATGTTAATAGCTGTGGGTCATCAGGAAATGGCCTCTCCCTGGCCCCCTGGATGGGCTGCTGAATTATCATTTTTAGAGAGATAGTAGGCTAATTGTCAAATCATCATTTGATATTCCCAGTGGAGAGAGAGCCCTATCCTCCTCTGCTCATGCTATAAGAGCATGCTATAGTTTGGATGGTTGTTCTGGCCAAATCTCATGTTTAAATGCAGTCCTTGGTATTGGAGCTTGTGGCTGGTGGGAGGTGTTTGGATCGTGGGGGTAGGGTCCTCATAAATGGCTGGGGCTGTCCCCTTGGTGATACATGAACACTGACTCTGAGTTTACATGAGATTCTGTTTGTTTAAAGGAGTATGGCATCTCCCCTATGATGTTCTCTTGCTTGCTTATTTTACCGGAAAGGGGTCCTGATCCAGACTCCAAGAGAGGGTTCTTGGATCTCACTCAAGAAGGAATTCAGGGTGGTCCACAGGGCAAACTGAAGGGAAGTTCATTAAGAAAGGAATAAAAGAATGGCTACTCCATAGACAGAGCAGCCCTGAGGGCTGCTGGTTGCCCATTTTTATAGTTATTTCTTGACGATATGCTAAACGAGGGGTGGATTATTTATGCCTCCCCTTTTTAGATCATATAGGGTAACTTCCTCACATTGCCATGGCATTTGTAAACTGTCATGGTGCTGGTGGGAGTCTAGCAGTGAGGATGACCAGAGGTCACTTTCGTCAGCAATTTGTTTTTGGTGGGTTTTGGCTGGCATCTTTACTGCAAAGTGTTTTATCAGCAAGGTCTTATTACCTGTATTTTGTGCTGAACTCCTCTTTCATCCTGTGACTTAAAATGCCATAACCATCTAGGAAAGCAGCCCAATAGGTTTCAGCCTCATTTTACCCAGCTCCTATTTAAGATGGAGTTGCTCTGGTTCACAGGCATCTGACACTTCTGCTTTCACATGTGATGTGTTTGCTCTGCTTTCACCTTCTGGCATGATTGTAAGCTTCCTGAGACCTCCCTGGGAGCTAAGCAGATCCTAGCACCATGCTTTCTGTAATGCCTGCAGAATCATGAGCCAATTAAATCTCTTTTCTTTAAGTTACCCAGTCTCAGATATTTCTTTGTAGCAATGAAAGAATGATCTAATAAAGGGCCATAGGCTTTTGGTCCCCTAAAAGGTTGCTGAAAGATCACTGACCATCAGCAGATCTATTAATAGAAAAGGAATAGAAATTTATTTATTTAATAGGAAATATCCTTTCCACATTTAATAATTCTCTACATGAGAGCTTTCAGAATGAAGACCCAACTTCTCAGTGAGTTACAGAAAATTATGTATTATTGGGCCAGGCGCTGTGGCTCATACCTGTAATCCAGCAATTTGGGAAGCCAAGGATCACGAGGTCAAGAGATCAAGACCATCCTGGCCAACATGGTGAAACCCCGTCTCTACTAAAACACAAAATTAGCTGGGTGTGGTGGCGCACGCCTGTAGTCCCAGCTACTCGGGAGGCTGAGGCAGGAGAATTGCTTGAACCCGGGAGGCGAAGGTTGCAGTGAGCCAAGATCATGCCCCTGCACTCCAGCCTGGTGCCTGGCTATAGAGTGATACTCTTGCCTCAAAAAAAAAAAAAAGAAAAAGAAAAAAAAGAAAGAAAGAAATTTATGTATTATCTTGAGGTTACAGAAAGAATGAGAGTTTATATATTGGTAAAACAGATTTTGGGAGGAGGGGGAAGAGGAATCCTACTGAGGGCAATAATAATCACTAGGGAGAATAAATGATTGAATTGGTGAACAGAAATTGTAAATAGTTTTCTTTGAAATTTAAATGATCCTTAGAGACATTCATTATACTCATAAAAAGGTCTGTTCGTGTGTGATCACTTCTTTTTTACAGTCATCTTTTCTACAGTGAATCTTAAAATATTAGGGAGAGAAAGCAAACCTGTTGTTCTCCTTGGCAGGTCTGGATCTTAGGCCGATAACTCCAGTTTCTTTGGGAGAGATAGTTGTGAGGGAGGGAAGGCCAGGAGAACCTTGAAGCTTCTTCAGTTCAGCATGTCAAAATACCATATTTCCTGGGGTTAGTCTCTGAGCCCCGACAAAAGTTAATTTGATAACTTTAATTTTTATTTTGTTTTTTATAATTTTATTTTGTTTTTGGAGATGGGGGTCTCGCTTTGTTGCTCAGGCTAATCTGGAACTCCAGAGCTCAAGAGATCCTCCTGCCTAGGCCTCCTAAAGTACTAGAGTTATAGGCAGGAGCCACCCCATGTGGCCCGATTCGATATATTTAATCTGAAAAAGTTTTAGGGTAACTGTAAACTTTGTTGACAAATAGAAGGTAGAGAATTATTAAATGTGGAAAGGATATTTCCTGTGAATATTTTGTATTTTTTAACCTCAATATTTCTGCTCCAGTATTTTTTGTTTGCTTTGGTAATCTAAATAAGGCAGGTGAGTGAAGGAGCACAAGGAACTTCACCCCCAATTAATCTGCATTTTATCAGTTGACTTTTCAGTGAAACTTCAGAGGGCAAAGAGGAAGGGTCCCCTTGGCCCCTGCATGATAACTTAATCTGATTTGTGTCATCTGTGGCCTGTGGAAACAAACAGTCTTTAGTGGGACAGAGAAATAATTAACATCTTCCATAGGGTTTCTTTTCCCTGTGAAGACACAGTATGATTCTGATTTGGGAACATTCTGTAATTCTTTGATTTTAAATTGGAAGGGGAGTGTCTTAGTTTCTCTTATTTATCCTCCTCCTTTCAGAGGAGACAACAAGACCCAGAAAAGTGAAGAACCTGCCTGAACGTGATCGGTGGCAGAGTCAGACGTGGAACGCAAGCCTTTTGCTTGTCCTCCTACGTTTTTGATGCAGAGTTTTTATATAGCTCCTTAGCAGGAGGAAGGAACAGAAGGGGCCTTGCAATCCGAGGTGAGTGGTTTAGAAAGTTAATAGCAGTTGAGAAGGAACCATGTCACACACTCTGTTTCCTGTGCTACCCCCAGGAAATAGAAGAGTTTACTCAGTAATCAGAGAGAGTAAATGGAGGTTTTCTGAGTCAGGTAACCAGGATTCTGAGTTTGTGTTGTTTCTAAATCTGGGTTGTTGATGGAGAAGTAGGCTGGGTTTTATTAATACTTGCAAGACACAGGATACATTTTATTCAGTGGTTTTCTTTCCCTTGTTTGGTTTATATAAACGTACATCATGGTTTGACCTTACGAAAGTACAAGCTGAGGAGGACATTATTCATCAGGAAATGAATAAATTTTTTATTTTTTTGAAAAAACTCAAAAGCATTTTTTTTTATTTGCAGAATTTATTTTTCTAGTAGCATCTGTTTTTCAAACATAGGTCTAGGACTGTGTGGGTTCTGATAAGCAAAAATTTAACAACAACAAAAAAAATCTTTGCCCTTGTAGGCATTTTGGACCCACTGTTCTTGACTTCTTTTTCCAAAATGTTTCAATATCACATTCAAGTCTCAGTGTAAAAGGGACTATCATTTTCCTTTGAGTTTTTCACTGGGCTTTTAGAGTTTGATAGAAAACATGGTGATAGTTGCAGCTAAAGAGAATGCTGAGTTGAGAAGGAAAAGAGACACAATGCGGGGCTCAGATGCGCTTAGAGCTTCATGGTCTTGTGGGAATGGATTTAAACCAATGGTTCCCACTGAGTTCTTAGTGCCGTCAAATTCTACAGGTCAACTGGTCATCACAGGCTGGATCATATATTTTATGGGCACTCAGTATTATATTCAGAACTTGAAATAGCAGTGTGAAAAAGAGATAGTTGCCTTCTATAATCAGCTCCTGGGTATGCATTTCTAAAAATAGTTTTGAGGAACAAGGTCCTGGACTCTGTGGTTTGCAGTTTCTGGAGATGGGTGAGGAAGAAGATGCTGGGGTCCTCAGGACTTATTTCTAAACCTTTGCTGTGCTGCACAAAAAAAGGTTGATTTTAGTATTTGCTCGGATAGAAAAGTGGGTATTGGGAGCCATTTAAAAAGTCTAATGAAGTTGAAGGCACCAGGGGAGGTTCTCTTGGAGGAGTGGGAGGCAACCATTTACAATTTCTTCTCCGGTTCTTTTTGCCAGTTCTCCAGCAGTTCTCTGCAGGGGAGCCCAGGTTTCTTTCAAGATTGTTTCAATGTTAAATTGACACTAAATCAAGAGCACAGTAAGTCCCAACCTAGTCTTTTTAAGTGAAGAAAATTTTGAAGGCAGCCAGGGCTCCTGTGGGGAGCGATGCTGAATCAAGGAGACAGCAAATAAAACCACTGAAGAGGGTGGGAAACGGGAAGTAGAAATTAGAAGGCTTTTACATTTCTGTAAAAATATGTTATCTGTCCTCATATGTCTTTTTCTCACTGTATCTTCTAGTATTATTTTTTTATGCAGTGAAGAGCTTCCCTAGTCCGAAAGAACAAAGATTACTTTTAAAACATTTTTTCCAGCCTGTGTTCCTTTATCTACCTGCACAGTACCTTGTTGGCTCAAGCTCTCAGCCAGTGTCTTCGTGCTTTGCAACACACCTGAGTTATATATTCATGAATCAATAAAAGATGCCATATTGTATCTTAAAAGGATGATAAGGACAAGCCCGACCAAAATGATGAAAGCCCGTCCCCACTAAAAATACAAAAATTAGCTGGGTGTGGTGGTACGTGCCTGTAATCCCAGCTACTCAAGGAGACTGAGGCAGGAAAATCGCTTGAACCTGGAGGCAGAGGTTGCAGTGAGCCAAGATCGTGCCACTGCACTCCAACCTGGGCAACAGAGCGAGACTCCGCCTCAACAACAACAGAAAAAGAGAATGCTAAGAATCAGGTCCTGACTTGAAGTCATGGTGCTGATTAATGATGAATATATTTCTTTTTGGTAAAATAGAGCTAATCATATCATTCAGTTGCTTAATAAAACTCAAAAGCAATATACAGGACAGTGAATCACGGAAAAGATTATTAAATATATGTGTCACTTAATTTTGTTATGCAGATAATAGTTGCCATCTATCTATTTTGCAAGATAAGGAAAGTCCGTTTGACTTTTTAAATTGCACGAACCAGAACTTAGTACTTAGTGAAGAGCTTACTTTTATAGGAAAAGAGGAAAATAAATCTCATTTTAAAAAATAATTAGTCAGCTGAACATAAACATGTACATTTATGTACAGCAGAATTTGCTTAATCACAAATGTTCATCTCTAACAATTGTGAGATATTTTAATGCTTTATAGAGAGATGTATATTATGGGTCATTTTATACCATTCATTTAGGTTAAGAAGTTTCATATCACGAATCTGCAGAATTAATGTTGCTAGATAGAGAAATACCAGTAGCTCTTCCAATATTTGGGGGCTTTCTGTTTCAAAATGACTCCAAAACAAATTTTCAGAAACTCTGTTAAAAACATCATAACTTCTTGGTTTAAACTTAACAAAAAAGGTTATGGACAATTTAGCACTGCTTGTTTAAATCACTAGTTGAAAGTAACAGGTTGCAATTTCAAAAAATGTTATTTACTTCACAAATATTCGTTGTTTGCCAATGTGCTGAGACCTTCATGTGGTCCTGGGTGCTAGTCCATGCCAAACAAAAGTGTAAATTAATTGGTGAGAGAGACATTTTTCTTTGTAGCGGAGATACAAGGTGCAACAGGGATGTAAAGGTGGATCATTAGCCTCCTGAGGATGTAACACCCAATGGGTTATCCTTGCCTGCTGCCTAGACAGAGTTGATTTGTTAAGAGAGGGGAATTACAATAGAGAAAGAGTTTAGCCAGCTGTACAGGAGACCAGAATTTTATTATTACTCAAATCAGCCTCTCTGAAAACTAAGGGATAGGGGTTTTTAAGGATAATTTGGTGGGTAGAAAGTGGGGAGTGCTATTGGTCGGGTCAGAGATGAAATCATAAGGAGTCAAAAGCTGTCCTCTTGTGCTGAGTCAGTTTCTGGATGAGACCAGATAAGCCAGTTTATCGACCTGGGTCATGCCAGCTGATCCATTGAGTGCAGAGTCTCCAAAATATTTTAAGCACTGATACTAGATTTTACAACAGTGATGGTATCCCCAGGAACAATTTAGGGAGGTTCAGTATCTTGCAGCCTCCGGCTGTGTGACACCTAAACCATGATTTCTAATATTATGTTGAATTTGTTAGTCCTGCAAAGGCAGCATAATCCCAGGCAGGAAGGGGGCTTGTTTTGTGCGAGGGCTGTTACCATTTTTCTTTCAAAGTTCCTCCCAAAGTAAGTTCAGCATACGCCCAGGAATTAACAAGGACAGCTTGGTGGTTAGAAGCAAGAAGGTGTCAGTTACACCAGATCTCTTTCACCCTCACAGTTTTCTCGGTTATAATTTTTGCAAAGGTCATTTCAAAAAGGCTTCAGGATATGTAGGAAAAAGGAAAGGATATGAGGGGACTTTTGGTTGGGTCTTTTAAGACAAATGTTTTCCAGATAAAAGTATTATGGAAGGAATTTCAGAATAAGCAAATAACATGTGCAGAATGGTGAAGGCAGCAATCATCACTCATGATGTATCTGGGGGAACTGTACACAGTCCTGCAGTGTTTTCTGTTGAAAGTTTGCTCTCCTTCCAGTACCCGCAGAGAAACCAGATTTTCTTTATGTGTGAAAATAAACAACAAAATGGTCTTCAGTTAGCTATTAAAGAGGATGACTTCATATTTATCATGTAGTTGATTCTGGTGATGAAGTGAGTCTGGAAAATGTTATGAAGACAAAACTAAAATAATCATAATAGCGTTAGATTTTAAAAAGAGATGGTAGGGAAGGAGCAGTCACCTTCAGGGGAAGGCTGTGTGTGGCTTTGCTCTATCTAGAGACTGTGGGTCATGAGTGAATAAGTAGGGGGGATAGTGTTTTCAGGTGAGATTTGTGTTTCTTTCAAGGCAAAAACACGCAGAGTGAAGTTTGGTCCAGTGATGGTGGAACAAGGGTTTCACAGGACAGGGTGGAAAGGACTAAATGAAGAGAGAAACACACAAGGGATGGTACTGGGGACAAGGCCGAGATTGTATAGTGTCATCCTGGTGGCTTAGGTGATGCCAGAACCTGATAGGGATGGAAAGTTTGGATGTCGGGTAGGCATATGGTAGGAGAGTTTCACAACATCCACCCTGCTTAGAGTGTCTCAGCAGATGTCAACTGTATCACTCATAGTCACCAGGGCTGTGTCTTCTGTTCCTGGCAACTGAAGCTCTCCATGCCTCCCACTTACTTGCTCCTCCTGTCATCTCCCTGCCCAGCTTTGCCCTGCGGAACCCTCACAACTCACAGGATCTAGGCTATCTGGGCTAGCCCAAGGCTTCTGTTTTACCTCAAGGATTTTTTTTCCCCCCGAGGAAGGATAATTGAGAAAGAAAGAAAAAAATAGTAGCCTCACTATTCCTGCATCCTTTTTGCTTTGACCCCTAGAAAGTTTAAAGCCAAGTTTGTTTCCCAGCTCAACAATTCTATAAGAGCTTGTGTTTTGCATTTCTTTGTGCGAGTCCTAACCAGACCCTTATTTAGTTACCTATGATTATTTTTGCCTTTTTGAAAATTTTCTTATTGCTCAATTTTAAGCTTCGGTTTTGGAGTTATTTTTAAAAGCTCTGTGAAACAATTTTGGAATGTGTTGAAAATTAATAAGTGAGATAATCAAAAACCTTTCTAAGTTTATGAGTCCTTGGGTATAATTTTCCCAGTTCTCTCCTTTGGAACACATTCCTGATTCCTTGTCAGTGGATCAATTTCATATGCTCTTTAGTTTGGTGCTTTTTCTTAGTAGCTCTTAGCACCTACATAGCTTTCAATAAAAGTCCCCCATCTTACTAGAAACAAAGAAACTTTTTGTTTCTTTCCAGTTTTCTCAAGAATTCCCACAATTTTTTTTCTCCTGAAATTATCACTGTTTCCCATATA